CCATCTATCCATCCATCTATCCATCCATCCATCCATCTGTCTATCTATCTTCTTACCTGTTGACATGTGATCAGAAGCGCTGTCCAAACGAAAAAACCCGATATGGTTTGTGCAGTGGAGGTCATGAGGAAGAACGTCTCCTCTGGTGTGACCAGCGGTGCTTCCGGTACCCAGGAGGCGTTGGACTGCTGTGGGGCCACGGTGGCTGGGGGCCCCGGGGCGAAGCCAACAGGGGGGCCATTCCCCAAACTCTCAGACAGGGTGAGGTCCCGCCGCCAAAGTAGACCCATCTGTATGGGGAAAAGGGTGAATATGAGATGTAGTGCAAAAAGATGCTGTTTAGGTAATGTAGCTAAGACATGTTAAAGAGGCCATATTATGTATTTTGGGGTTTCCCTTTCCTGTGGTGTGTTATATAATCTGCAAAGGCTCAAATCCAAAAGAGTTTCTCTCCCACACCCTCCCCCCCCTGCCTGAAATGCCTCCTTTGGACTCCTTTGTTTACCACCGTAACATAATGACATCACTAAGTAACACTCACGCTTCTCTTAGCTAGCGCTCAGACACATTGTACGTGATAGGCTAAGGGGCGGGACATCTCTAAGCGTTAACCAATCACAACAGAGCTGGCCAGCTAACCAATCAGAGCAGACTGGGCTCTGGTTTCAGACAGAGGGTGAAAAGAGGTGCTGCAGCACATAATAATAATAATAATAATAGAACAAACAGGAAGAGAAAAGTAGGAAATTGCACAGATCTATAAATAGATTCTGTGGATAGAAACATTTTACTGGATCAAAAAAGTCAACAACAAAAAAAGGAGGCAAACACACCACGGAGAAAGGGGGGGGGGGATCACTGTAGCACAGGAAATCAGTGTGACAGCCGTGTGCTCAGGGCTGCTGACCCAATTTTTCCCTCTGTGATGCTGTGTAGCTAGACATGACGCTGAACATATTTTTAGTAGAACAGTATCACACATTCAAATATAGACTTTCATGTTATTTAAAGTCACTATATATATATTGGATTATCATATGTATGAGTTAGATAAATACGATGGTTCCATTGATCCCAATTAAGGAAGCTTGTTATATATTGTTCACTTCAGAATGCATTTCACTTCTGCTGAAGATCTTGTTCTCACAGCCTTTTTTGGTGGCATCTCTCAAATGATTGGGCACCTATTAGTGTATTTGCACACGGCACAATACTCGCCCTTATACAGTAGTATGGGGCGTTACCTATGCTTATGATGCCACATGTGCTACAAATTATGCTATACTGGGATTCGTCACTTAGCACACCTGGGTAGGATGGATTGTAAAAACGTTATGCATTTTGAGTACTTTTTTAAAATTGTATTTAAGAGAATTTTGCTGCATGAGGCCCAGTGATACCGTTTCCAGTGTTGTTGAGTTGCTTAAAGTAACATACAGGTGCCAAAAAATGTGCAAACCATGCAGAAATACAAAGTCCTATATTGTCTTCATTGGTTTCTGTACTGTGTCTTTCAACCCTAATGCTTACACTGCCAGGTTCCACGTCAGCACAATAGGAAGAAATCAATGCCAGTTGAAAACACCCTCTCTCGATGCTTCAAAATGACTTGTAATTAGGGGAAGCAAAATAAGTATTGTCTATTAAATGATGTTGCACTGATTTAGACAAATGAAAATCAGGCTGGCCAAACCGGAGCTTGCGGCGTCAAAAGCAGACAGGAAGACGCTCCACGTTGGCACCCAACAGCGAACACCGTGTGTGTGTGTGTGTGTGTGTGTGTGTGTGTGTGTGTGTGTGTGTGTGTGTGTGTGTGTGTGTAATTGCTGTTGTCTAATTTTGTCTTTTTCTTATGTACTTTAAAGTTATTTTATTTTTTGAAAAAAAAAAAAAAAAAATGGTGCTTCTGGTTGTACATGTTGTGTATTAATCTCAATAAAAATGTGATAACAAACAAAAGAAAGATTCTCCATGTGCCAGCGCCCGTTTCAGATCATCGCGGATCTCTGTCATACCTCCAACCACGCCATGTCTTGGGTGTGGATTCCGGAAAGGCGATAATTTAATCATTCGCAGCGAAAACTAATTCCACGATGACTTTCAAACCCCCCCTGTGCACCAGCTATATATAGGTTGGCGCTCGATATGGTTATCGATGACTCACGCTGTTTGCCAGGGCCTCAATCAGCGTGTGGCAGTGCAGTAACATGAAACACATCGGTGTGTCACACGGCAGAAAACGCTGCTAGGGCGGTTTTAGACAACAGAAATTCTTCGTCAACAATATATATATTTTAATTTTTTATTTGATTAGATATATTTCGAATACGTAAAACAATAATACAAAAAAATAATAAGAATAATAATGAAATTTAACATGAGAATTATTATACAATACAAAGCAGTGTCAAATTAATATACAAAAATATATCTGATTCTAAATTATATATAAACAAATTATCTACTTAATTACACGTCCGAAAAGGGGTGGGAAGAAGTTTACACTTATTTAATCCCACCCCTTCTCCCAATAACTAAATTATTAAGATTTTTTTTTTTTTCTTTTCTTAGGATATAGTTAATTTAATCTTCAAAATATGTCTTGCTCACAAAGAATCATAAAAAAGCACCACTTTACTAATTCATTCCTTGGAAAGAAGTCATCCATAATGACAAAACTATTAAAATAACTGACCAATTTGTAAACTAATCGAATAAGAGTGGGCAGCTATTAAAATTAAGATTTCTAACAACATAAACAGTTTTGAGGAGGATATACTAAAAAACCCATTATGAGTTATCTCTGTTTCACTTTTCTTTCTTCAATGTATTGATTAGGAGCTGGGCCAAATATCAATCTTCATCGTTTAATATGTTATCTAATTTTTCACAGCCATATTTTTTATAATTTAGTCAAGCTTGTAGCATGAGGATTTTTTATGTAGACAGTTACAGTTTGATAACTTATAATAATAATGGATTTCTAATGTTATAATCATTATATTGACGTGTCCAAAACATATGTAAAGGAACTATTATTGTTCCTATATTACTGTGTTGAGCTCATTGTTGTTATACCGGGGGGGAGGTCTTACCATTTATCCTGGTATCTTTTGATCATATTATCTGACGGATAAGACATGTGGTTGGATATCGACCACACGTGGATGCATGTAGATCAGTCCAAACATGTTGTCTAGAAGATCAAATCTGTTCAAATGAATATAGGTCATCATATCTGTGTTTGCTGTACAAAAGCACCACCAGCGACAACATACAGCGACAACAAAGCTCAATGCTTCCCAGTGGGCCAAAGACAAGAGAGAGAGGCACCTCATCAATCCTGCTGACTGCACCCATGGGTCGGTTTCAAAACATGCATTGTACTTTGACCTGAATCGAACCAGCAGTCATTGTGGCAGGCAGTCATATGCCCCAAGGCATGAATCATACAGTGAAGCATCCGGCCATAGAAGCTGGCTGGGATCCACCTGAGGCTCTGATAACCACAAGATCATTAACAGTGACCACAACGGATTACAAAGTGCAGCTAGAACAAATCCCTCAAAGAACCAGGAAGCAGGTTGTTCAGTGTGCAGGCTGCAGATCAGTACAGAAAATCGTGCTGCATACAAGATGACATCATACTTAATGAAAATCCTTTAGGAGCAATATTTACATCACCACAGCCGATGTCGATCGTTATATGTAAACAGTGAGCTAATAAAACATGCTAAACAGGGGGAAATGTAGCTGTTGTTGGGTGATAATGGCTCACTGATCACTCACCTCCTCTGCAGTTGTTTGGATCTGCGTTGAAATCACAGCATCAATTTAGCTCATCCTCTCAAGTCGATTACAAACCTTTTGGAGTAGAAAAAGTTATTTTTTAACGCTATAAAATTCAAGCCAACGTGGGAATCTAAATTAAACAACACATTAATGTAGGAACCCATGAAATGAGCCTCTTATTTGATAAGAAATGGCAAGTATTAACAGCTGAGCATCAACTACGCCAAGCGCTGCTAGCCGTTAGCCACTGTTAGCTTTATTCGCCTAGCTTACTGTTGCATCTCCCCGTCAAGTCAAAACAAAGCAAATAAGCATAACATGTTTTGAAAAGAGTCGCATTCAATTACAATATCAAAATGAAAAACAGTTTTCTTCTCACCATTTCCCCATCCAAAGCTGATGAACTGGACACCGTTATTTCATCCACATCACCATCTGCAGTTCAGTGCATTAACAGCAGCTGCCACACAACTAGTTTGCGCATGCGCAGTCATGTTTATTTTTCATGGATCTGTTCATGTAAACTAAGGTAGACTGCACTGCATAGAGGGGTGGACAAAGTATTAATATTCTGAGTACTTGAGTAAAAGTACCAATACCACACTGTGAAAATACATTTCCAGTAAAAGTACTGCATCGAGAATGGTACCCCAGTAAAAGTATTTAAGGATTATTATGAAAATGTACTTAAAGTACAAGGAGTAAAAGTACTAATTTAAAAAAAGTAAAATTAAAATATGTCAAAGCAAAAGCAGCAAATCTTCACATACAAGAAGCTGGAAGTGTGAAATATTTTGGAACAAAAACCTCTTAGAAAAATGACTGCCAACTATGTTTCTGTTAAGAAACTTGTGGTTTTAATTACGAAAATATAATGTTGGATGGTTTAATCTATACCAAATAATCCCATTTTAAAAATGTGTCCCAAGTATTGTGTGTCAGGATCTGAATGAATAAAGTAACTAATAATTGGATCTGTAAAAAAAAAAAATGTAGTAGAGTAAAAAGTACAACATTTGCTTCCAAAATGTAGTAGAGTAGATGTATACAATGAAAACACTAGGTTAAGGTAGAATTACCTCAAATGTGAACTTGGTTCTTGAGTAAATGTAATAAGTTACTTTCCACCACGTTATGTCCAAACACACACTCATCGTTACTTAGTAGTAGGCAAAAGATGTGACGATAATAAAAGGTCAGCAAAAAGTTGTGAGCAACGTTATTCATTTTTATTACTTCATAAAATATACACAAATACTGTTGTAAATAAAGTGTGTTAAAGAACTGTACAAGATATCAGTACACAATACATAAAGTGAAATCCCCTGGCCTCTTCCTCTCCTAGACCAATCCCAACCCGACAGTCACGATGCCACTGGGTCACGTGGCCTGTACAAAGGTAATTACACACACAGTACACACACTGCTATTTACACATCCCTGCAATTGCATCAGTTATGTTTTCTTTTGAATGACATCATTAAGGTTGCTGGAGGTTCAAATCCAAGAGGTGACATCAAAACTATTAGTATGTACTTTTTGCAGGAAGGAATATTGAAAGTATTATACGAGGACAACTGTTGAAGCATGGAAAAACAGAAAGGACAGGCAAACGAACACTATTTCTAATAAGTTACAGGAAGATGAAATGACACAGGAATAAGAGGACAGACATATAAAAAATAGTTTAACATAAATAGCAGAGAAGTGGGATTAAAATCTGCATACAAAATGGAAATCGTATTCTTAGCAGGGATTCACTCAGTCTCACACACACACACACACAATATTAAATGACCCAGCTGGCAAAGCAACACAAGCCCCTCCCCCAGGTTAGTACTTTAAATATCTAAAATTCTGCCCCCAGCCCCAATGGATGTCATTAGTATGCATTGTTCTACTTTAAAAACAGATAACCACAGTTTGGCTTTACATCAAAATTAAAAAAAAATATTTACAGTGAAGTAAACATTTTAAAAATTAACAATTGGATGTCCCACCCCCTCCCTTAGTAATCCCTAACGGAGCCTGCCCACTCCCCTATGACCTCCATAAGAAAAGGAATTAAAAAAGGTAACATTTAGAAGTATCATCAAAATTGCAGCCACTGTTTCTTAGCCAAACGGGCAGCTCTGTGGTCAAATACGCTGAGAATTTCCTGAGGCGCTTCCCTCAAGACGTGGAGTGTGTCTTTGCAATATCTATGGTCCTTCTTCCCCTTACCCGGCTCACATTTCAAAACAAAAAAACAGGCCAATTAAGGGGTTGTGGAGGTTTTGGTGGCCGAGTTTTCACGACGTGGATGAAGGGCGAGCAAGCACCATATGCTACTTCACCGGAAACCTTACAGCTAAAACATCACTTCCTGATCCTCTTCAGAGCTACCTCTCCTTCAGTCCACTAACCTCTCCTCACTTCTAGCTGTCATTTCTCTCAAAGCAAAGAAAGGAGCTCCAATTTGTGATATCCTCACGAAAGATACAAATATGACATACACAGAATCGTTTTTGCGGTGTTGAGCTGAAAAAGCAATCGTTACTTAGCCTATATCAAATCACTAAGATGACCTTTGACGAGAAACATGCACGTCCCCGATTACTTTCTGCTTCTTTGACGCCAACAGCTCTTCACATTTGTCAGACAGAAGGTACAGAGGGAAATGTTTCGAGGAGTGGTAGGGTATGATGAACCATGGAGTCAAAATGGTGAAGGAGTGTTTGCTTTCTGAATGGTGGTGGTCCACGCTTCAGCAAAAAGACTTCTGTCACAAACTTCCCTGGATCCTTAAAAGAAATGAACGTCCATTTCCTAAGATCCATGGGTCCATTGGCAATCATCTTTTCATAAGACAAGGTCAAAATAAAAGGAACAAAATGAAATGGGAGCGATGAATATACCTTGCAGCCCTGTAATGACAAAGGGGAGAGTTGTTAGTGAGGGCGGTGCATTTGGAAGCGGTGCGTTTATGTATTTGGAAGTTTAAAGAACAGCTCACCTGTCAGTTTCATGTGCATGCAGAGCCAAAGAACACTACTTCCCCAAGTGCTCAAATGGCACGCTGACCTGCAAAGGAAGAAGAGATACGTTTATTTATTTAGAACATTTCAACATGAGGCGATTCTAAGTGCTTTAAAACAGTCAAAAACAATTAGGATACAGTGCAACAGACACAGTAAATCATGACATGTAAAAAGTGTTATTTAAAACACAAGAGGAAATAGAATAAGACAGGTAGAAAATGACTGCAGTTTAAATATGAATAGTTGTTGGATCCATTTCCCTTGGTGATGTAAACCAAACCCACAAATACCTACACAAACTGCCAGTTACTGGGACACGCACACCACTGGAAGCTTAGCCAACTGATTTCACGAGACATCTTTAGTGCATGACAGTATGTAGTTAACACTTTAGAACAATGTAATCCAAGTTATTGTCCATAAAACTTGAGGACCGGATCTGAATGAAATTGCTGGAGTGAAGCGTCAACACAACAATAACGTTTCTTTATTAGCACTAATACTTACAAAATGTTTTACGTGTGATTTTAGCACCATCTTTTTAAAGTTGTGGATTGAAGAAGTGCTGAAAGATATTTCACTATTACTCCTTGAAGTCTGTATGTATGTTGTTGATAAATGTTCACATTAAAATGCTGTGGCAATATTAATTCAGTCGTAACCGAGATGAGTCTTTTAAACATCGGCTTGATGAGATGCTTTTTTGAACGTAATTTAAAATGTTATTTTTGGAGGATAATTGGCTTTACTTCAACACATATAACATTTTCATAAACGACCACATTTCTCCCACTCATGTGTGTGTTTTCTCACCTGCGATGTGGAGATTCTGGATGCGTCGTGGCGGGCTGTGAGGTCAGAGGACGACACGTTGGCGGGGGCTCCGCGGTGCAGCCGCATGCTCACCTTCCTCTCCCTCTCCGCACGAGAGATGGCACGAGGCGACGTGTTCCCTGAAATGATGTGGAACGTTCAGAACTGACCACAAGGTGCGCAGGTATTCAAGAAATATAATGTGGTGTCAGTATAGTTAATTAAATGGGATACAGGCTGTGGGGGGGGAAGGGGCAGTAAGTAGGAGCACTTCATGAGAAACATTAAAGGTGGTGTGTTGAGGCCTATACTCAGATGGTGTAATAACAGTGAAATATGGGTGTTTATATGGGAGAAATAACTGTTTATTATGAGTGTTATAACTAACTTGGGTGAACAATGGGTGTAAAATATGTGTAATAACGCCGTAATAGGAATGACAACGGAGTAATATACGTGTGATGGGGTAATATGTGCGTTAGAAGGGTGAAATACGGTTGTAATAACTTATATGGGTGAACAATAGTAACATGGGTGTTATACATGTGTTAAAATGCCATAATATTGGTGTAGCAACATTGTAATATGAGTGTTATATATTTGTTTAATTTAGTGTTGCCGACAGGTGTCATAACATAGTATAGGGATAACATGGATTTAATAATAATATTAAATATATACTCTAAATGGGTAAAAGTCATATTCTGAAGAAATACATGAAGTTGTGTCAATTTTGACATTAGAAAAAACTAATGAATTTGTTTTCAGAATTTTATTTTCAGACGGACCACAGGACTTTGAGATGAGTCGGCAGAAAACTCACCGGACTGCTGCACCCGCGAGGCGGGGTTGGAGACGGCCTGCTCCGGCCCGTTCCTCACTCTGTTGGCAGCTGCAGGGAGGGGCCCCGGTGGGAGGCCCCGCGATGCCGACACTCTGGGGGCTCCTGCGACCCGCTCGTCATCTACCGCCCTCCGCTCCCGCTCCCGTTCCCCGTCCTCAGCTGTTCGACTGGCACCCTGAGACATCAAAGAGCTTCCATTAACAAAATATAGCTCCAAATTAGCGTATTATATTTTCGGCAGTGAGATCTTTTCACGCTGATGACAGACTTAGTTTGCGTCTAGGCAACATACTAAACACTTTAACTAATGCTGTGATGTATTGTGATTTAAAAAAAGGTGTCCATTATCATCTGGCCGGGGACAACAGCTGGAAATTAGCAATGTTGGCCAAAACTGCCCCATTTACTGTTTTTTGTGACAGTTGATCAATGGGGATTGTCCAGGACACTATAAACAAAACTAAGAAACTCACAAATTTGAGCATGTTCCAGTCGAAGACGTAATCGTAGGAGAATCCCTGGCGGTGGAAGAGATTCCTGAAGAGCTGTCGTAGGTAAGAGTAGTCCGGCTTGTCGTCAAAACGAAGCGAACGGCAGAAATTCAGGTATGTGGAGAACTCGGCTGCAGGAGAGAACAGACGTGAAGAGAAACTCAGGATACTCAAAACATCACAGCACATGAATTAGCTGAATAAAACTCAATACTGCAGCTGCCACAGAAACGCAGAATCATAACTTACAGGGGTATCCTTTGCAGAGAACCTCGATGGGCGTGGACATTTTC